AAAATACCACACTAAATAGTGACTAAACAACCCCTTTTAATACATCTTAACCAGGAGATACTCTCATTTATAATCGCTGCATCTTCTGATAAAATCAGCATGCATCTACACTAAAGAGCGGCTATGCGGCTGTTTCGACTATATTACTTTTTGTCTCATGCAGCGCACTGCCTGCGTCTGAGTAACTAACTAAAAAAAACAACAAACTAAAACGTGCATGCGATATTAACAGACGAACTACGCTCATATTTATAATTCCAAACAATCAGTAAGCGACAGGTGCTAGGAAACGCTGTTTTGTCGGCTGCGGTGCTTCTCTGCCGCTCACTGCACAGAACAGACGCCGAGAGAGGCGACACTTCTCCGGGAAAGTCAGACCTCGCGCTCGCAGGACAGCACTGACGAAATCCTCCAACTGAACCATAGCTAAGCTTTATCCAAAGAAGTCGCTAGGTTTGTCAGTATGAATATTCTATGGGGAAAAGCTGCTAAAAGGGTCTGAAAGTTGCTAAATCTAGTGCTAAAGTCGCGCTCGTGTGTGTGTGAGACGCGGGAGCTGATGGCAGGGGCGGTGGATATTTGTGGTGGTCAGTGTGGATATTGTGGATGAGTTCTTCTGTGTCATCACGTTCTATTAGTTCTACAGCTTCAGTTTCAGAACTTTCACGCTTAGTAACACATACAGCTGTTCCCTCACCACAGTGCAACAGTGAAAAGAGACCCCTTTCAAACAGTGTCGCGTTCCCAACGTTGTTTAAGAGACATACACCAGTATTACGGTATTTTAAAAATTCATATAACAAAAATAAACACCGGTATTCGGTATGAACCGGTATACTGCCCAGCACTAGTTTTTGGGTTCATGTCTGCTGAGCATAAACTAAGCAAGTTTATTTATTATTCTTTATTTAATTCACCTCATCTGACATTAATTAATCTGTCAGCCAAAGCATGGCAGACCCGGCCCGTGTGAGGACCGATGCGGGGTTCGGCGAGGCGAGCAGGCCCGCGGAGAGACCCAAGCCGGGCGAGGGGTTCAGGGACGCCCCGGGGAGCAGCAGCACCTCCTCTGAACCCGCGGCGGTCCAGACCGCTGCGAAAGAGGAGGGCAGAGCGGTCAGTCCGTTTGTTATTCCTGAAGACTTGAAATGATTCGATAGAAAAGCTTTTAGTCATGATTGATCTGAGTGTGCTTCAGAGGTCTGCTGCTGGTGAAGAAGAGGGAGAGGGCTCTTCATCACTGCATCCTCCTCCTGCCAAAAAACTGAAAGTGGAACATGACAAGAAAAAGGAGAAGCGGCAAAAAGTTGATGAAGATGAAATACAAAAGATGCAGTAAGCTTCACGGATGATTCTTGCTTATTGTGTTTTATGCGCTACTCTGGATTAGGATGCAAAACTCCTCATTTGTGTTGCACAGAGTTTTAGTTTCATCATTCTCTGAAGAACAGCTGAACCGCTATGAGATGTACAGACGCTCGGCTTTCCCAAAGGCAGCTATTAAAAGAGTAAGTGTATAAGATTCATAACTGGATCCAATAAGAGTAAAACAGATTGTACTGGGTAAACTAATATCTGTTTGTATTGTTATTTAATACTTTGAGACTTTTTGGATACTTGTTAAGAATTATCAAATACCTGTTTGTACTGAAATGTCTTGCTGAGTCTAATTTAAAGAAAAATTGCATTATATTGTTGTATAGTTCAGTATATGAATACAACGTTTATTATAAAATGGTACACAATTTCCCATTAGGATGCTTTACGTTTGGTTCCAAATTATCATAGAGATTCTGATGGGAACCATGTAAACATTTAGTTTGAGATCTAAGTGTCCCACTTTATGTTTGAATTATAACATGGAGGAAAAAAGAGAAAAAAGTGGAAATTGATTGTTTCTGTCTTGCAGCTAGTTCAGTCCATCACAGGATCTTCTGTCTCTCAAAATGTGGTCATCGCTATGTCAGGAATATCAAAGGTGTTTGCTGGCGAGATTGTTGAGGAAGGTTGGTAAGACACTGAAATATGATTCAACGGTAAACCATAAGCCTCACTGATTGTCTCCATAATGTTTTTTTTCTTCCATTTCAGCTCTTGACGTGTGTGAGAAGTGGGGAGATATGCCACCTCTGCAGCCCAAACACATGAGAGAAGCTGTCAGGAGACTGAAGAGCCGAGAGCAAACTCCCAACACCAAACACAAACACATCCTCTTCCACTGAGTCCCTCCCAATAATTATTATTATTTTTATTATTACATTTCTGGTGTGTTTGGAATGGACTGTTGTCGTCTTCGGTTTTGTT